CAACGGAACATAGTTCCGCGTTGAACGTGGCTAAAATCTGATTTAAATTTTCAAAGAAACGTAGTTCTGCGTTGACTATGGCAAAAAGCCGATTGCAAGTCTCAACGAAACGTAGTACGGGGCAAACTCTGGCTTTCCTTCTTCAGGTCCTATTGAAGGCGAAAACCCTTGTTCCGAAAATCAAAATTATAACAACCAATCGTAGACAGTTGACAACAAAGACTATCCCCTCAACGTGCGTTAATAGAGGTCGAATAATTTTATAAATGAATTTGTTATCAGACATTAAAAGACTTAAATTCTAGGAAAAAATAAAATTTCATCTCTCTTAACTGTACAGAAAAGGCGATAAATGACATCTACCTGTCAATTAAATTAAGCAGTTTATATATTGTGAATATAACTGACGAAAAGTTAATGACAACAAAAGGGCAGAAAGGTAGCAACACGTTGTTTTAAATGTGAAAAATACAGAACACAAAACAAACGTGTGTCCGAAAAACAAGGAACAGAGCGCGACGATCGTCAGTCTCAATGTGTCAACACTGTATATAGGCCAATCAGAAAATTGTGCCTGAACAGTGATGCAACTACTCACTTATACAACGAACCGCAGTAATTTGATGAATTTTTGAACGCGACGCGGTACGCTTAAACTCGCAAGTGACGTGATTGCCACGACGGATGGTGAAGACAAAGTGCATTTTATCGCGGACACAAAATAATGGTGTTAAGACATATGTCACGTTTCAAAACGCATTATTTGTCCCGAACTTGAGCGAATCTCTTTGTCTTAGGTGGTATATGTTCTTGAATTTTCACTAATTCATAGCGCCATTTCTTAATAAAAAATAGTGATATTTACATTTCTGAAATCAGAAAAAAATGCTATATCAAATAACAAAAAAGTAAAAATGCCTTCCGTAAGTTTCTTTAAAAATTGCTTGAAATGATGTAAAACGTCGATATTTGATGAAATTTTAACATGTCCGTAAAAACAGTCTCCGCAATACCTACCTAGCTCGTGCGGGGAACTCAAAAACAGTAAAAATTTAAGTGCCAAATTCAAATTGTCTGCAGGAAGTTTGGATCACCCGGTATTGTCACTTAATCCAGTCCGTCAATTAGTTTAAAACTACTTCTTAGTATATTTTATTATAAAGATAAGGGGTTTAATTCACTTGAAAAAGGTTGGAGTTCAATTCAAAGTGATTTTTTCAATAACAGGAAAATCTCGAGTGTTACTTATCGCTAATTTGAAACGTTTTGCTTTCCAATTCATAACTTTAGATCCAATCTAGTAAATCGAGCTTTTGTAATTTATTGTTGCAAATGCGCAAATAAATCAAAGCTTATCAATTGCAATCGTCGGAAGCATCAACTACATCCAAACAAGCCTGCGTTATCTAGAAGTACAGTTATGACTACCGTAGATTTCTCAAGGGTGTAATATATTTATAAAGCGCCATGTTATTTATCCCACAATCTTCATTGCCTTTTAGATGACCTTCGATTTTTCACGGCGCATATTCGATTACGGTTAAAGGAGACGCGCGAAATTGCGGTTTATATGAAATCTCTTTCATCCTGATAACTCAATGATATAGTCTTAAACTTTGTTCAGTAACATCGAGATCCACTATTTTCCACTTTCCCGTATAATGTCGTTTTCGTTATGACCGACAATTTTGCATAATTTCAATGGAGGCTTTTTCCTAGGGGATTTTATAACGCCGCTGCAAACAAGGAAGTTGTTGATGTTAGCTCAACGTTTGATAAGTACTCGAGTTAGAAACTTTTAGTGTAAGTCGTTTACCGTGTAAGATTAAAATACATAATTGAGTGACTATAAAAGCTTAGAAAGAATACACATTTAGTTTTAATATTCCTGACGGAATTGCGTCACTTGAACCTTTTTGTCATTTATTGAGGGGGTGATGAAGTAATCAAGAGACTTGCTAATTTTATATGTAAATCAGTATATTGATGTTGGATTTTGGACCCAGATGTTTCTTTAGGCATATATCCGCAAAGCCTATAAATTTAAAAGTAAGTGAGTTGTAAAACGAATCTATCGATAGAGGATAACCGCAGCAGGCTATATCTTGTGTAATTTACATGGTAGTTTGCTTGGAATTGTCACCCCTTTGAATGTACTCGCACTCAATTTACAAAATAGATCTACGAACTTATTTCCAACTGTTTTGAATTTATTGTTAAGACAATCGCATTACATTTAACGACAGAAATATTCTGTTGACAAACTAATAAGAGTTACTTAACAGCTGAAATAAAATAAATTGTTGGTTATTTAGTGAGATAAAACGATTACACACACCATATCAACATCAAATCACAAAGGAAATAAACATTTCATCATTTTTGAACACGGTTATAACAACACTGTTACAACGTTTACAGAAAATCGACGCTTACAAAATTTTTCGCCATCATCCCTAGTGTGAAGAAACGGAGTGTACCTACTACTAAGATTTTAACCCAAAATGGATACTTCTCCAAAAATATCGATAGGTAAAATCAAAGTAAATATTCAAAGAATTTAGAAAAGGAAGAGAGAATTCGTCTAATTCTTTCGTATATAGAAGGAATTTCGGCTGATTTTCAACCACACTTTCTTCTACATCAATCATTAAAAAGTTCGTAGGGCAACATTTAAAATAAAGATCATATAGTGTTTTCAAAATTTCTTGCACTAAATTTCATACAATTCCACAACCTTTCAATATCAGAAACACACGTCAAATTTTAAATATTGAGCGCTTTAAGAGTATAAATGAACATCATTCGATAATCAAACAGCACAATAAATCCCATGCGTTAAGAGAAAACGATTTCGGACATTTTTTCAGCCTAACAAAGTTAAATTAGGAGCTCAAGCACATTTACAAGATTGACTAATTAGACAAACCGTTCAAATTCAAATACCACCAAAATAAAGACATTAAACGCAAGTACACAAGAGATGCAAATAATATAAGCTAGGAACACTATAACTTAGCATCTTTATATAAAGCAATGACGCCCAGTATGTGTTTTCACTTCTTCATAAATCGCTACTTTTTTCATAAAGTGCTCTTCGGTTGCAATCTTTTTTGTATTTAAAACCAATTGTGTTCAGTACTTGGCCATGCTAGGTATAATTACTGTTTCAACCCCTTTTTCTGTAATTTAAATCCTGTAAATTGACCATCTAAGCGAGAATTTGTAAGTATCTTCAATGACAAAATATAATAAGGCTACAGTCACATTTGCTAGTATTAGTTCTGGCCCTGAAGTTCTGTGTGACAATTTTTGATTTTGTATTTTTGTTGTCGGTCAGCTGGTCACACAGCCGTAGATGGTAAAAGCCTGGTTTTTAAGCACCCACTAGAGGATATTTCTATAATTTTAAACGGCCCTTTTGATGTTCGTCAAAGCTAAATACTTTAGAATTCATCACAGAATAAACAAACTCTTGTGCCACGATTCTCCAAAGATTGACAGACGTTCTTCCACTTCATTCCGTTCATTTTAACCAAGATTGATTAGAGACGACAAAGTCAACAAATTGAACAAATTAAAATATCACCAGCCTTTCTCTAGTAAGAAAAAGGGTAATACGAGTATCGAGTATTTCTGTGACAAAAGAGAATCGAGAAGCGATTCCTTTTATAAAATTGATGCATTAAGGAAGTTCGATACCTATTACAATTATCCAAAAGACAAGCAAAAAGATGTCTTCTAAAAGCTAAAAGGAATTGTACAATTCAATTTGACACCAAAGTCTCTCATGTTACAGTAAAAAACAAATTGATATTGTTTTAGTAGCATTTGTGGCGTTCTAGATTTTATGTTCACTGCCTACTTAAATTAACATTAAATTTATTTATATAATTGGCACGACCACTGGAAACGGAAGCAATTTAACTTATTTATGTTTTTGTATCTGTTATTTATTTATACCGGGTATTCGAAAGTGATTGTAGAGAATTTTGGTGTTTTTGATTTAAAGGCATAACGGGTGTTGTTTTTTTATAGTAACCGGTAATAATCTATTGGCGGCCATTTTTGTCCGTGTATATACACGGTGTTCAGCGAGGAATAGAACAGCGCGATATCTCGGAAACGAATGCAGATTTATATTTATAAATGTAAGCTAGGGCCATATATTTTGGGATAAAAAGTTTTTTAATTAAATACGCCAACGCCAGGTGCCGCTACATAACTTAATTCTTTTACATGGAATCGCCTACTTTTTAGAATTTTGGAATTTACAACATATTTGTGATAACTTTACTTATAAATGCTGCCAACCTATCACGTGTACTTCTCGGGGAAAGAATGACTTTTGTAAATTTAACATGATTACCAAATAACGATAATCGGGAATTTACTGCCACTTAGGCAACCAACCATACACTATCTAAAATGGCAACGTTGAAGTGTGTAACTCTCCGGCGGGAATTCGTGTGGGAGGGGCCGCACGGCGTCGCGCATTGTCGTCTTTGCTTCGGCGGTTCTGGCTTGTAGGTAAAATTACAAAAATTGGTAAAACAGAATTTTATGCATTACATACTATATTCTGGCAAACTAATATCTTCAATCTCGTTTTTCTCTCAATTGAAATAAAAACTGGCTTAGGTATAAGGTTAATTTTGCAAGACAAGTTCTTATTTTAGTGATCCAGTTTTGTACACACTGACAAAAAAGGCCCACGTAAACACAGTAAAACAATAAAGCTTAAAGATTTAAATATAGAGGGCGTAGTAGATAAATGTAGATTGGTCCTTAACATATTTAAGGTGCTTGCGGGTACCAAATGGGAGGCTGATCCAGACACCTTACTACAAATGCACCACTCCCTGTTACTATCCAAGATGGAATATGGCTGTGTAGCCTACTCTTCAGCGCGTAAGTCAACCTTAGCCAGACTGAACCATCTCCACCATGCGGGAATAAGATACTCTATTGGAGCTTTTCGCACCAGTCCCATACATATAATGCTTTCCGAGGCAGGTTTCCTCCCACTGTCTCACAGACGCGACAAAATCCTAAGTGGATATGTAGCGGGAATCCGGGCGCAACCGGATCATCCCAACTATAAACTTTTGTTTTCCGGAATACGCGGTTTTCTGGAGAGGCCCACAATTACTAGACCTGCCGGTGTTCGAGCCCACGAACTATTCGCTGCGATGGCAGTTAATATGCCGCCCGTGTTACCATTTGGACAAGGCGAAGTTCCGCCTTGGATGATCCCGAAAATGAAAATCTTCTTAAAACTGGCGGAATACGTTAAAGAAGATACCCCAGTAACAATATACAGAAGCAACTTTCTTGCCTTTCTGGAGGAGCATCGGAACTCAACCATCATCTACACTGATGGATCACGCACAGAATCAGGAGTAGGATGCGCTGTATACGTGGAATACAGGTCGCACGAGTGGACACTTCCGCCTATGACAACTGTATACGGAGCAGAACTGTATGCATTGTGGCAGGCTCTGCTGTATTGTCTAATAAATAGAGGGCACGTGTTTCTGATTGTTTGCGATAGCCTCAGTGTTATGGCCGGGATACGGGACATTTTTTCCCGTGACCCTCTTATTCAGAGAATACAAGCAATGTACACAAATGTTACGAAGTCCGGTAAGGTAGTGGAATTTGCGTGGATACCCAGTCATGTAGGAATACACGGAAATGAACTGGTTGATGCGGCAGCAAAACGTGCAACAAGAGGAACCCGAGTAGATGTCAAGGACCTAAGACCCACGGATCTTAAAGCAGCCCTGAGGCTGGCCGTGGGAAGGACGGCGAAATGGATTCCGCCACTTACGCTAACGCGAACCGAACGCGTGAAAATACAAAGGCTGCGGATAGGACATACTGGACTCACCCATGCTTATTATATACTTCGCGGAGAACCTCCTCCCATGTGTCAATGTGGTGAACGGATAACGGTCGTCCATATCGTATGTACGTGTCCAAATTTTGTCCAAACAAGAACAGCCGCTGCAAATATCACCAGACCTACAGCAGAACTTGCGGGAGCCTACGAGAATAAGAGGAGTGCTAGATTTTCTGAAAGGAAATAACTTATTCAACATGATTTAAGTAATATATTATAAGTATAAGTAAAAAAAAAAAGGCCAATGACCAAGGTGTCGACGCCTTGAAGGAGAAAAAAAAAAAGAATGAAATTATCAATTATAGCCTTAGCCACAACTGTCATTGCTTGTTTATTTGGAATTGGCACGATGATCACGTATTTACTCAATTCACACTGAATGGTTATGGCACAAACATTACCTTGATTAGATTTAACAAAAGGTCCAATAGTATCATTACAAACATCAATACTAGCATTCGTGACAGCACCTCAAAAATATTCGACAATACTTCGACTACTTATGGTATTATATATGACTATTCAATTCATCTGACATTTGTCACATTTCGACCAGTGAAATGCCACAATTTCAAATTGCTGAGCCAATGGGAACAAATTATAGTGATAATTCCACGTGTGGTAATTTCAGCGATAATTCCACTAGAGAAATAGTGACAATTTGAAACGAATGAAGTTACTTTTATTCTGAATACAAGTTACTTATTACAGTTAGAGGAATAAAAAGTACAATTAGAAAAATTAACAGTCTTGCAGTTTTGCACTAAGGCTCCTGAAGAAGAAATTGAAGAATTGCTATCATGTACAACAATTCTGTTTGTTTCATTGTTGTGGGCAACGTCTCGGTTTTCCCTCATCTTCTCCACAATTGATGTATGGTGATTGCTATCAAGTTGAAGATAGGATTTTATCGAACTAACACTGCTGTGGCCAGTTATTTTTAATAATTGATTTTCTCCTACGCCTGATTTTGCTAAATTGGACACTGCTGATGATCGTAAGGAATGGTTCGTTATTTTCCTCCTCTTTATATCTAAACCGGTCTCTTCAGCAGCATGTTTCACCCATTTAGTAATTTCGTTAATACCGACAGGAGAGTTTTTGTACCAATTGCTGCATTCGGTATTTGTCCAGTATGGATTTGGTGTCAAAAAAAATCTGTCCGTTGTAATATTGTCACCTCGTTTTTTCACAAGTAAATGGTACAATCTGAATTAAAAACCATTGATCATGATTACTGTGATTGTTCTAATTAGAAAATACTTACCGCACAGGGCATACAGCAGATTGCGTCGTATTCGGAATTAACCATTTACTCTCGGTAAGTGGTTTTGCTCCGCCTTGCGCAGTTTTTGAAAAAATAGGATTGTACTCAATCCTTCCTGTTGGAGTTCCGGTGTTATCAAGTTCTTCATTGAAAAAATGCGTCAAACAGCGAGCTCCTTCTCCACCACGCCAAGCAAGTTCGTACGACGCTACCATAAAGAATTTCTTTTGTAAACCATCAGGGGTCTCTTCGTTAAATTTTGTAGTTAGAGTAGAACATTCTTTTTCAGTAAGAGACGCCGCGCTCCTTTTCCTTTTCTCTGGCAACGCCTGAAGGGTTTTTCGCATTACATCCCTGGTATCCCTAGCCGTTTTAAATACGAGGTCAGTAAATGGGTTGAACTGAATATTCCATTTATTGAAGAACATTTCTTGCACCATTTTTGCCGTTACATTCCACATCTGCTTTAATACACCTTCTTTGTAACTAGACCCATCCTGTTTCTTCATATTAGCGGCCCAACTTTTTAAAATATTATTAATTTCAAATAAGGACGTTGTCCTATCCAGTTTATAATTCTTTTCGTCCAAAAACTTAGAAAACTGATTCCACACAGAGTCGCGAGATTTTTTTGTGTTGACTGGAATATTTTTCTTAATTTGTTGATCTATTTCACTAACGGGTTTGTCACCAAATCTTTTAGTTTGATTGCTCATCGTAACTAACAAGCTTGGAGCACAATGGAATAAAATCAAGCAAAATGAAACTTAAAGTAGTTAGAGCGCCTAGGTAAAAGTAACAAGAAGTTGATGAAAATTTGGTCACTTATTCTCTGAGAGACGCACTTTCCAATGGTCAAAATAAAAAAGAGATCCTATGTGCCGTTTCTGAGATATTTGACAGTAAAGACAGGGTATTTTAACATGGGCTCTTATGGACAGACTCGGTTTTTTTGTACTAGCGAAGGTGTTTGTATCAAGACTTAAATGAGATGGGTCTCATTCGAAGCGAAATTTTGTGACGAATCTAAATATGCACGGAAAAGTACAGGTTCATGATGAAATAAGGAAGATATTTGCCACCGGCGCGCTATACATTTCGCGTTCAAATCTGGTGACTTTTCCATCAGGTCTAGTATATCATTTCCGAAGCTTTTAAATGCAGGTAAAAGTAACAAGAAGTTGATTTCTGCATTCCCTCTTTGCACTTCGAGAGCGATCTTCTGGCGTAAGAAGGTGGTAGATCTTGGGTCTCAAATGGTCTCTTTTATTATTTGTCCTAATTGTTTGGTGAAGGTCAGTGCTTCCTGTCCCAACACTGCACACACCACTTGACTCCAATCCAATAGTGAAGAAATGTTTGTTTTCTAAAAGTGTGTGATATTTGGTTTTCTTATCTGACCCTGCTTTGCGTATTATCGCTCCAACTCCCGATAGTGCTAGTCGTCGATATCCATGCGTGAAAGTATCTCTTATGGTAACATCCCAAGTTACATGTTTTCCTTGCGTTCATGGTTGCAATGTTCTTCCATCTGGACGACTTCTGTCATTGTGTATCATATTTGAAGGTTCCAAATTGACCGCAAGACCAGCCTGTCTCATTGATCTGCCTATAATGACGTTTATTATTATTATTATTATGGTCGTTGTTTCTTGTGAGAACTCAGGTTCAGGGGTCCAGCCTGGTTAACTAATCGCACGGATTAAAATCAAGTAACGATTAGTGTCTGTCTGTATGTCGCTCGTCTGGTGAAATTATGTCGGGTCCTAAAAAAAATTAAATAAATAAATAAAAAATTCACACACGCACATTGGAAATCTAGAGATAGTATGTAATTCATACGTACCAACATAGCTTATTATTGTGGTCGGTATTTCTTGTGAGAACTCAGGTCTAGCCCGGTTAACTAATCGCACGGATTAAAATCAAGTAACGATTAGTGTCTGGTGAAGTTATGTAGGGTCCTAAAAAAAATATTTAAAAATTTCACACACACACATCGGAAATCTAGAGATTATTATTATTATTATTATTATTATTAGTAGTAGTAGATCTGGATATCATTCCCGAAGCTTTGAAATGCAGTGGTAAGGTTGTTAAACAGCATTCATATTATTATTATAAATAATTTATTGTATAGTTACTAGAGCCATAAAATAATGTTTCTTTTCATGATGAAAGTTTACTTACATGGAATAGGCACCGTAATTGACTAGGAAACAATTTGTAATAATAATTGGAGCTGGATTGTAGCGCAGCTTTGGTAAGTATCATTCACCAACATAGTGTTGGTATGTCAAGTGAAAATATCTTCATTGAGATGTTGTCAATATGGTATTCAGTCACTGTTTTGAAGCTGCACCTTGAGAAGACAAAAACAAGAAATAATTAGATATATAGTTAGTTGGGATGGGTAGTTGTACTCATAGAATTATTACCACTATTTACCACTGAAGAAGAGCTCCAGTTTTTCTATTGTCTTTTTCTGTGTTGTGACGCGAGGTTTGCCGTCTACTTGGACTCCAAGGCAGACAGTTAGCCCCTGCACTTTGTTGGCGTCGTACTCCCTCTTCAGCTCTTCTATGGTGACACCTGCTGCAGCCATTTTTCCAACCATAGCCTTGCTGACTCCGACAGAAAAAAGAGCCTCAAGAGAAGGCATAATAGCTTTTCTCCTTTTGAGTTCAGCTTGACGCTTCAAGAAGTCTCTGAAGGTCACCATATTTTCTCGGACACGGGTTGGAGATACTTTGATGGATGACTGATTCAGAAGTCTATCGAGCACGGAGCAGTCAGTAACAGCATTGTGAGCTGACTTATGCAACTCCTCCCAGTATGGACCAGTGAGGTAGGTTTCCGCTAATGCTGACTGCTTGCACACTTTGCCTTGCTTCAAGAGAGGCATTGTATCAGAAAACCCGGCAACACACTCAGCAAAAGCTTTTACTTCACCGTGCTCTTTGAGAAACTTTATTAATCTTGGGGCATCAAAGCGGATGATATTGTGCCCAACCAAGAAGACAGAGTCGCCACACTGCTGCAGAAAATGTAACAGCTGGTTCACAATTTCTTTCGGAGGAGTTGTGGAAACACAGACGCCATGGTGATAAAGCTTCCCGGCTGTCATTTTGAGACCAGTCACCTCTGCTGCTTTCACATGAAAGTTCTTTTTGGGGATCATATACCAGGACTTCTCCATGCTTCCACACTTGACGGCAATTTGAACAATTTCATCAGCAGCTTGAAAACCAGTTGTTTCCAAATCGATGATGACTGGGACACAACTTTCAGTCGGTTGGAGAGCATCAGGCAACCAGGCACTGCCGACAGAAACCGCTGCAGAAGCACGTTCCATAACATTGCCCATGCCACTCTCGTATGTCAGGCCTTCATTATTGTTTGTTGCTTTCCAACTATTCTTCATTTTGTTATGGAGACGTCTTGCCTTGATGTCAGGCCTGGCTTGGGAAAGAGCTTTGACCATTTTACGGTGTTGAAGTTTCTCTCTAGTTCTGAATACAGAGGGCGACAATGTTGCTTTCTGGAAGACAGCCTCAGCGTACGTCGATCCCAAGTTCTTCTCACACACAGCTGCTGAGACACGGAAAAAGTTTGCTTCCGTGCCACAATAGTGTCTTGATTTGGGAGCACGAGTAACACACATGTGATTAAAACTCTCATTTTGTTGAGTTGAACCACAAGGAGCCAGTGTGTGGGCCATCGCTGCTTGTCCAGACAGAAGAACATGAAGAGCAGCACGCCATCCAGGTTGATCAGTCTCACTGAATTTCTTCTGCCTCGGAAGACCCTTGTAAACATAGTTGTCAGGGTCTTCTTTGGCTTTGCACCAGTCACTGCATTCTTCATGCTCTCCGAAGCTGTGATTCTCAATGTTCATGATGGCAGCACGAACGCCTTCGACATCGCCTTTGTTCTGTTTTATGGCATATCCAAGTTGTCTCTTCAGATGGGCAATGTGAGAAGTTTGTAGCCACTTATGTGTTGTCTTCAACTTGTAGAGAGCATTGTTGAAACCAGACATGTTATGGTTCAAGTCGACCACTTTCTCAATGGGTGTAGAACACTCTCTGAGAAGCGCTGCTATGGTGGAGGAGTCTCTGTCTTCGATGAACTGGCCAACCACAACCCCAGCTTCTTTCAGGTCTGGGTTGTGTGCTATCAGCTTTACAGCAGAATGCGGCTCCATGCCCTTGGCACTACCTTCATAATTTCTGGCACACTTGTGATCACCTTCCTTGGCACCAAGAGCACACTTTCGGCAATAATTACTGACAACATCATAGCCAAGAATCTTGTTTGAGTGAAGGCCTATCATCGATCGGCGACCACTGTGGCTGTTGTAAGAACGGCCATTGCCTCTCTTATCCCATCCCATGTCAAACTTGACACCAATACTGACAGCATCATTGAGGCTGAAGATATTAAAAAAACATATTAGAAGAAATTGTGCATACAATAATTGGATCTGAAGAGAAGATTTTGCGAATAATAATGCATACCTGACTCTGCGTGGAGTCGAATTTACATCAGTAGTCTCATTTTGAGGAGCAGGGTCATCAGGTTCGGAGTGAACTGGGCTAATCTCCATTGCATCCTTATCATTTTCGCTGAAAGTCCTGGAATGTACACAAATAGATTAGATAATGAAAATATTCTTCAAATATACAACACAATCAAACCAGTCCTCTGCTGACCCTGGACAAGCAGGGAGAAAACAAGTTAGTTCCCTGTTGGAAAAACCAGAACAAACATAGGCGACGAAAACCAAAAGGGAATTTGCATACCTTCGTGACTGGGATATGTCCATGGCCATGTTTTTCTCAACCAGAATAGCTTCTCTGCAGGACTCTTTGACCACTTCTGCTAGGACTGGCCCAACTCGGTCCTGGGCTCGGATTATAGTAGATCGATATACTGGAGGCAGATTCAGCACAGAGAAGAACTTGTTCAGTACCTCAACACCCAAACCACAGTCCTGTAGGCCTGTAAAGCAACCAAGATGGGGTTAGACCAACCTACAAAAAAGGAATTTCTCCCTGCGCGAAAGAGATAACAATTATAAAATCCATAGCTTGGTAGCAAGCAAACTTACCGGCAGCAGCTTTCAAGTTTACGGCGTACAGCGAATGGCCAAGGTCGTGGGGAGAAGGGACTTTCGAGTCTGTGCTGATCTGGTGCAGATCCAAACAGTTGTGGCATCTTACATGAAAGATGGAGGCCAGACCGTGCCGTTCCTCCTTTTCAAGAAAACGTAAGCTAAGTGCTTGGTCGCACAGATTACACCACAGAGACTCGCCAATAAGTTGAGGTTTTACAATACGGCGGCCTAGGCAAACAGACGCTCCTGGGTCCTGTTCCTGTTGCTCCTGCTCAGCGCGTATCTTTGACCGGGCCTCTTCCTCGCGACGCTTAGCGTGCCGCAGTAACTGAGCTAGGACAATTTTCTCCTTCTTCTGCTGCGCACTTTTCTTCACAAAAGGCATGGTGGCTTTCGGAAGGAACACCAAAACCAGCGATAATTATAAAGACACGCAACCGTCTTGTTGACACACTGATCCGCTCGAGATCAAGATAGCGGCTGGGGATCTCTGACGCCAACATCGAAAAACCAAATCCACTACACAGACTTCACGTAAAACGCCAAATTATTTAGTTTCCCGACATTTACATACGTCTCGCATACGTTTTGATTAAAAATAAATATATTCGTTTAGGATTTACCGCTTACACTGTGAATATTTAGTCGCGGTGTGTCGGCAAAAGTTTAGTGTCCAAAGGTTTGAAACAGGGCCGAAAACTAGGGAGACTAGTCAAGTTGACTACTGTA